CTTATCATTTCATTGATTAGTAAGGCCCATGTGGGTATTACAGAAGGTAAATGGATAGTGGATTACATAAAGACCCATCTACATTTTTTTCAAATTTTGATATGAGCAATTTAGCAAAATTCTATTAAAATGGTGGAAAAAGCACCTCAAATTTAGCACATTTGCCAAGTTTGAGGGTAGTTTTTTATGTTATATTAATGCAAGAAAACTTGTAATGATAAAACAATAACAAGCGAAATAATATAAATCCACAATAAGATGCGATTGAAAAACTATGAGATATCGCGTTAAGAAGATGACGTAAACCACACTTCTAAAAATTCGGAACATTGAGAAGAAATATATCAAACTTTGACAAATGTATGGTTTCTTTAGATTCATTTTGCCATACCTCTCAGTGATAACCCAAGTTCGCACTGATGACTAGTGGCAAAACTAGGTTTGATATCACTCGCACTTTTAATTATAGACAAAACTACAGATTGTTTAAGGAAATCGAGTAAAATAAGTAGCGTTTGAGACGTCAAAACCAAGCAGTCAACTTACGTTTGCCTAAAGAAGTACAGACATTAATATTTTTGTTATTGTCTATATATTTTAACCTGCATGAAGCCCTTTTTTGGATAAACAGGGCAGAGTTGAAGTCGGACTGCACTTCTTTCTCAGAATTTCCATGTTCAAGAAAATCTGTTTTGTGCTGGTGTCTACATCAAATCAGGAAAACTCGCAATGTAGGCAACTTTCACACCGTTGCAATATCCATTTTAAGACAATTGTAAAACGATAAAATGCTTTTATTTCATTTTCTGAGATTCAAAATCTTTTCTAGCCTGCGTCACATCCGGAATTTTCTTACGAAGAAAATTCCGGATGTGACGCAGGCTAAATCTTTTCTAATGTATTTTTTTTCTATTGTTTTGATCTCCACCCTCGTGGGAGAGGCCCAGCTATAGAAATAAGACAAAGTAGGGGCTTATGGAGCCGTGAGGTAAACCACATCAAAGAACCCTGTCCATTATGTAGAAAATTCCAAAACTGAAGTCTTCAATGGCGTGGCTATGGTGTGGCTATGAATGGAACTTTATCACAAGGCGCCATGTTTATCATGAGAATATAAACCTTAAATACCGCGTATAAACCACGTCCTGTGAAACGCTTGAATGCGAGTATGACCCCGTCAGCACGTATCCGCAAATTTTTTTTCGCGGATACGGGTTCGCGTCCACACGTGTTCGAAAATCTTTGTATCCGTACCCGCAAATTTTCAAATACGCTGACGTCACGCCATCGGATCCAGTCTTCGGTGAGATACATACATACATACTACATACATACTTTTATTTGTTAAGCAGGTTAACTAAACTAC